TTATGGCTTAGTTAAGAAGCATCATAATTCGGTTGGACCCAACTTTTCATTTAAAATTAAACTTTTTCCGTTTGACCCACGGCCCCAAAAAAAGTAATAAAAAACACTTTCCAAGCTTTTTCAAAAATTGCACCATAAGCCCCAGACTTCTCAGTGCTTGTTTGGCTAAATTTTTAAGTGCTTGTAAATAAAGTTCTCAAAAAATGTATGATTAAGAAGTAGATAAAAATTATAAATTCTAAATAGTGTTTGAATAAAAATTAGATAAACTACTAAAATCAAATCAAGTCAAATTCTTGCGCCTTTATGTTTTAAACTGCTTCTGAATCAATTTTCAAACATAAAGTATGGTTAGACGTCAATGCCAAGTTTTAAGCTTTACGAGCCTAACCGGGGTCTAGACGTTAAAAAACGTATTCTTATTTTTAATATTATTTTAAATTTTTAATCAATATAAAAATTATTTAATAATTAAAACAACACATATCAAACATCTAAAAATTATAAAATACTATATTTACTTAATTCCTATAATTAATCAATTATACAATTTTCAAAGGAAAATTTTGATAATAAAGTCAAGCAAAAGGCTTTAAAAAAAATTAATAAAGCGTGCTCAGGTGTTCATTAAGCGGTCAACTTGACAGTCGACTCAACAATTTCACGTTTACGGTCAAGGTATGGCGTTTCGCCTGCACCTCGTGCCTATGCGCAATTTTTAGAAGACTGATCGGTATATACTTCAAACATGACTTGATGAAGAGGAAACATGACTCAGATGATATGATTAATGGAAATAAACTTATTAATTCTCATGTTCAATTATCTTTAATTCAATGTATCAAACATATCAAACAAGAAAAATTGCGTGAAGTTGTTAGAAACGTCATTTTCCCTACTTAAGCTACGCTTCGAACCAAGTGTGTAAAGTTGATATTAATTTTTATTTATTTTTTGATTGCGTAACGAAGCTAGCCTTTGTGATGAATATATATTGTATAACCAAGTGGAGTCCATGATAATGGAGTGTTGAATTATCCAATCTTTACTATTGCATGAAATATGCAATTAATTATGTGCGTAACAAAATTAAGAATGTTTAGTTTTCACAGGCCATGCTATGTAATAATTCAATCAATCTGAAATCTATTTATTTATAATATTCTTCAGCATTCTCTCTCATCTATAGTCTACATTTATATTTTAATCAAGCCCGTAACATGTGCATAATTTTTAAAAGGGTTGCAATAATGCCTATATTCAGGTCTTAAGTCTACTTTAAAAGTTTATACAGTTGAAAATCGTGATATATTTATTTATCTAAATTTAAT